TAGGGTTTAGGGGTTTAGGGTTTAGGGTCTAGGGTTCTGGGGGTTTAGGGTTTAGGGTCTAGGGTTTTGGGGGTTTAGGGGTCTAGGGTGTTGGGATTTGGGGGTTTTCGCTCTCAATAAAATTAAGATCCCCCCCAAACTGCAACAGAAACACGGACCAGGTCTTGTATGGCTTCTGAAACGTAGACCCCTTTGTTGAATCCTGAATCCTTCCACTGATTTTAGGAAAATTCAACTTGGATTCTGATACAGAGGCTCTATAACCCCTAAACCCTAAACCCCAAACCCTAAACCCTAAACTAAACCTAAATCAAAACCCTCATCGAAAGTCGGGGGTCCCGAGGTAGAATATGAACGAACCCCTAAACATATTATGAAAACCTTTGTAACACCAAGCCGCAAGCAACGTTCACAAGGTGGTTTTGTTCGTTTTTGACAAGACCCTCCACAAACTTTCTAAAAGTTCTCTAGAAACCCGTGAATATATAAACCCTATCAAACCAAACTTAAAACTTCCTACCATCGCTGTTGACCCTGTTTGATATGGAACTCTTATAACTCCGAAACCCGAAACCCTAAGCCCTAAACCCCGAACCCAAAGCCCTAAACCCCACACCCTAAGCCCTAAACCCCTAAACCCTGAAGCCCTGTTCCCCTCAACCCTTCCATCCCCGTCACGACTTTCTACGGCTTAGGGTTTCGGCTGCACGTCCGAAGGCGTAGGGGCTGCGAGACTTCGGGGTTTATGGTGTAAGTCTTTTCCTGAAAAATGTTATACGGTTTAGGGTTTAGGGTTTCGAGATTAGGGATACTTCCCCCTAAACCCTAAACCCCCTAAACCCACAGCCCTAAGCCCCAAACCCTAGACCTTAAACCCTAAGCCCTAAAACCCCCAAACTAAACCCTGAACCCCCTAAACCCTAAAGCCCCCAAAAAACCCTAAACCCTAAAGCCACCAAAAAACCCTAAACCCTAAAGCCCCCCAAAAACCCTAAACCCCCTAAGCCCCCGTGGTAACCTCCGAGGCCTGCAGCCAGGAGACCACGATCCGCCCCCACTCTCCCCAGCCTTCGACCTACAGAGGTAGTCAAGTCTTGGGCTTTTTCGGGTTTAGGGTTTTTTTGGGGGTTTTTGGGGTTTTAGGGTTTAGGGTATAGGGTTTTGGGGTTTTAGGGTTTTAGGGTTTTAGGGTGTAGGGTTTTGGGGTTTTGGGTTTAGGTTTTCAGGGTTTTGGGGTTTTTGGGCTACGCTTTATTTCGGGTTTGGGCTTTTGGGGTTTCGGGTTCAAGAGTTGGAGCTAAATGTAGATTTATTGCTGCATGGCTTTTATAGCTTGTTTTCGATGCTTTGGGGCGGAAGGTCTAGGGTTTTGCTGGGCACCATACGGGTTTCTATACGGGTTTGTATGGAACCCTAAACCCTAAACCCAAAACCCAAAACCCAAAACCCTAAACCCTAAACCCCAAACCCTAAACCCTAAACCGAGGGTTCAGGTCTCTTGGGATTTAGCGCAAAGAGTTGGTATAGGTTCGGAGCTCAGGACCTGAAAAGTTCAGGCTTTAGGGTTTAGGGGGGTTAGGGGGTTTATGGGGTTTAGGGTTTAGGGTTTAGGGTTTCAGGACCTGTTAAGTTCAGGCTTTACGTTTAGAGTTTAGAGATTTGACCCTACTTGTTGCGTAGAGTGGGGTTTAGGGTTCAGGGTTTAGGGTTTAGGGTTTAGTCCTAGTAAGATCCTTGATATGGACCTTACGCGGATCCTGGAACAGAGCTATTAACGGTTGGGTATGGTAGCTTCAGGTACAGACTGAACCTTACACCCTCAGTCCGGGATCCTAAATCCAAAGCCATAAGCCATAAACTGCTTGAGCCATAAACCTTAACCTGAAACAGAAACGTTGCTACATTTGAGGGTCTAGTCTAGGCAAACCCACAACCATCGCGGCGCCCCAATCTCTACATGGAGCTTGGGTGATGCTGCGACCCTGACATAATATATATATATATATATATATATACATATGTCGTACATACATACATGAGCATACAACTCTAGCCCGCGGCACCCATAATACGATGTCGCGTTGAAGACTCCATGCAAATTCATACGCAAGGAGCAGGAGCCCGAAAGCCTACAGCAATTTCTAGAGCTCGGGGGAACTCTAAACCAAAACCCTCTTTAGTTCGAGGGATATTGTTGATGATATACATCCTGCATTACCGTTAACAATTCTAAACTAGGCGAAGTATGGTATATTCCATATAATGGGTAATGCAGGATTTGTATCATCGTCCGTAGGTCTCTAGAAACAAAAGCTCCCGAAAAGTTAGGAAAGTTCATCCTGCAACCCACACTTCGGGGGTGTCGGCTATAGGTTTTAGGGTCGACCCGACCTGCCCCCGGACAAAAACTACTGTTTGGAAGGACATGTCTTTTAGGCCGGCTTCTTGGATTTAGGGTTTAGGGCTTAGGGAGAAAATTATGGCATGGAGCCCTCAGAACTTCAGCAAAAGTTCGTATTCTCAATCACGAGTCCGGAAAGTAAAGCTCTTCCCAGACAGCCGGAAACCCCTAAACCCTAAACCCTAAACCCTAAACCCCTAAACCCTAAACCCTAAACCCTAAACCCTAAACCCTAAACCCTAAACCCAAGAGCTCCATCCCCCACCCCGGCACTTTTCAAGCATCTCAAGAGCTAGAAGCCGAAAAAGCTATCCTACTCTTAGGCGGGAAAAGATATTTAAGGTGTCAAACTTGAGGATGTTTGGGGATTAGGAATTTAGGGATTGAGACAAAGGGCTTAGGGGTTTAGGGGTCTAGGGTTCAAAGCTTTGGGCTTATAGGGTTTATAGGAACTTCCCTAAACCCTAAACCCTAAACCCTAAACCCTAAACCCTAAACCCTAAACCCTATGAGCGTGCCTGGTCAAGCACTCTTCCAGGGCAGTCTCGAAGATCAACGCGACACGTCTCTAAAGGCTGGCGCAGGAGGGCCTGGACGTGTGAGGAAAACGGGTTTAGGGCTCCAGCCCTATAAGGCTTTAGGGGTTTAGGGCTCCAGCCCTATAGGGCTTTAGGGGTTTAGGGTTTATAGGGTTTAGGGTTTAGGGTTTAGGGTTTTAGGGTTTAGGGTTTTAGGGTTTACAGGGGTTACGGTTTTGGGGTTTAGGGTTGTAGGGTTTAGGGCTCCGGCCCTATAGGCTCAGGGAACTGGATTCGGAGGTCTGTGTTGCTGTAGGCTTCAGTACAAACCACTATGACAACAATTAGCCGCAAGAACTAGACCCTGCTCGATTCATCATTCTAGCATCAGTATGTAGTACATGCCAATACGCCGAAGCAATACGCCACAACACTAAACTCAAGCTGCCTGGTTTGCTCAGGTTTTTTCTTCATGAGCCAAAACATACGCCAAACGCGGTTCACACCTTCAGTTCTGAATTTGGGCTTACGTCATCCCACCGATTTTCTTGAGTTTGGCTGCTTTACTAACTACGACGAAGTACCACCAAAGGGGGAGCCGATGACATGGAAATGATAAAAAAAGGAACAAACTATCTATCCTGCACCGTAATTAGGCCCTCAAAACTAAAACTCCTTAAACCCCGCAACAAGCCGCATTCATAACCTGGCTATACACCGCTGCGGATCATGAGGGCACCATCCCTTGAGGATGCAACGACCCCTAAAACATAGGGTCCCTACACCCTGCTTAGGGTTTAGGGTTTAGGGTTTAGTGTTTAGGGTTTAGGGTTTAGGGTTTAGGGTTATGACTTTCCAACTGGTGTATGAACCTTAAACCCTTTTAGGGTTCATTTCGTCCTTAAGGTCTAAAACCTAAACCCTAAACCTTAAACCCTATAAATCTTGAACCCTAAACCCTCCTTAAGGTCACCCTAAACCCCAGACCCTAAACCCTAAACCCTTTTAGGGGTCAGTTCGTCCTTGAGGTCAAGGGGTGCGCATCTTGGTCAGTCATAACGCAGGTTAGTCTTTGGAGGAGGGTTCGAGGCTTAGGAGTCGAAGCTTTCGTGCTTAGGGCTTATAGGGTTAAAGGTTTTACGGGTTTAGGGTTTCAGGGTTTAGGGTTTATAGGGTTTTGGGTTTTAGGGTTTAGGGTTTTAGGGTTTTAGGGTTTTAGTAAAACCGGGTTTTAGGGTTTAGGGTCTTAGGGTTTTAGGGATTTAGGGTGTTAGGGTTTTAGGGATCAGGGTTTTAGGGTTTTGAGTTTAGGGTTTAGGGAAACCGGGTTTAGGGTTTAGGGTTAGTTGCGAGTTCTGTTTCAGAGCTGTTGGAGGATCCGGAAGCCTCTTGAAGGAGCGCCTTCAAGAGGGTTTAGGGTTTAGGGTTTAGGTATCCGAAACGGGACTAAAGGACCATCGCTGGGGTGAACATAAACCCCATTTAAGGCTTCGGTGTCTCCGATCCCTCAAGCATCGGTCCAAAGGGTTCAGGGAAAGGCCTGTGTGTGTGTGGCAACTTCAACATGATCGGAATCGGAAATATCAGCATACTTTCTCATCTTGAAGAGATGTATGTATATCTAAATTTAGTCTAAGCATGCATACATCCACTGAAATTTCAAGATGATATCCCCGTGCCGGGCATTTCAAGCTGCACAGACACGTCCGCGGGAGACCCTGGTCTCCGCCACTTAGACATGTCTGAGGCGTATGACCCTACCCAAAGGCCCCATAGTAGTTCCTGTTTGGGGTGCATATTTAGAAACTTATAAGGTAATCCCCAAAAGGAACTACCATGGGGCCTATGGGTAAACTCTAAACCCCTAAACCAGAAACCCTAAACCCAAAACCCTGTTGTTTTCTGGCGGAGTTGCAGAGGCCGTCTTGGAGACTCGAAGAGGGTACTTCCATCGTAGGAGTTCAGGAACTTGGTTGAAGCACACCCAGGGTTTAGGGTTTAGGGTTGAAAACGCAGGGTCTGATTGGGCTCTTAATTCTTTAAGGGTGCCATCACATAGTAGATTTAGAGCCAAGAGGCCACTATCTTACGTATCGCCGCCGTAGCCGAGGTTCAGGAACTTCAGCACCGAACTCTTGCAGCAGGCGTACGATTTCGCTCTGGTTCTCTTGCAAAGCGAACCGCATGGCGACGTGAGCTGAAGCAGGATCTGCTCTAGCTTCTAGTAGAGCTCGCCCCACCTCCAACTCTTGGCTCTCCAATATGGGGCCCAGGATTGGTCTTTCGTACTCCTCCCGTGTGTCCGAGGTATAGCATGTCACGGTCTGGTTGGCTGCGGCTCTGGCCTTAAGGAGCAAACGCACGACTTCTGCATGGCCGGCCAGACATGCTTCGACAAAAGGCTTCTCATGTTGCGGAGTGCCTTGATGCAGGGCTACTCGGTCAATGTCGGCCCTGGCTTCCAACAGCAGGCGCACCACTCCGGCATGGCCACGCGCGGCTGCTGCGTAAAGGGGCGTCGCAGGGTGTTCCCCCCACGACATCAAGCCGACCACATCTGGATCTGCAGGCAGTTGGAGGATTTCCTCAGTTTCCTCTACATTTCCAAATTCCGCAGCGTCCACGAGGTCCACGTCCCGAAAAGCCAAGTCCGTCATGTCAATGACGGGCAGCAACACCAGGTGCAAATCCATGGATCCCTGCAAAGGGCTGTCGTCGTTCAACATCTGACCATTGCACAGAAGCCTCTGACGGAATCTCGACATCCCACAGAGCCCTTGAAGCTTTTGCTTTAAAGTCCGCACATCTGTCCTGGATTGGGCCCCGAGACCTCTGCAAAAGATGCTTAACTACTCAGTGCTTCCTTTTGTCGATTACTTCGAAATATTTAAACTCTAGCCTTTAAATGAGCCCTAGCCCTTAAATGAGCCCTTAAAGGAGCCCATACTAAGGAACCTTTAAAGGAAGCCCGACGCCCTAACCCCTTCGCCAGCTGTGGCTCAGCTCTTCCGCAGCAAGGGCGACCAGCTCGTCTCCAGAAGCCGTCCACACTCGAAGCACCTGGGTCGGTTTAGGGTTTAGGGTTTAGTGTTTGGGGTATAGGCGCCTCAGTAATTAGAATAGGGTTTTGGGGCCCAGTATACTGTAAGTATAAGAAGGAACCCCCCCAAAAAAATGGTAATTACTTAGGCCCCTCTATTGGTTCCCTAGATTAGGGTGCTTTTTCAGGTCCCTTTCATAAGGGCGACGTACTATATTGGGGATAAAAAGACATAGAACCCTAGATCATCCCCTGAGCGAATAGACAAAGCTCAAAACACAAAAGTATAAAGAACCACCTCAAGCACTAGCCGCCATAACTAAACTTTCGACCCTAAACCCTAAACCCTAAACCCTAAACCACAAAACAACAACCCCGAGCCGAAGCCTCGTCGGTAGTGTTCCGCCTCATAGGCCGACCTCAGCATGTTTGGGGCTCAGGGCCCAAAAAGGTGGTTCTCTTACCCACACAAAGCTTATATGTGTATATGTATACACTTACATGTAGGTATGTATACATGCATATATATTCTTGAGTATGTATATATATATATATACACATGTATACATATACATATACATCTACATATACATACATATATACATATATATATATATATAAAATATATATATATATATATATAATATATATATATATACTATATGCACATGCGTACATTGTTAGGGCTCTTCAGCCTCAATTCCTTTAGGTCCATCTTCGTCAGCACCTTTTCCGATGATCTGACCGCCTGTCCCCCTCATGTACCCTGCTGTGTGCCCCCGTATGAGCCTCGCCTTCCCCCCTGCGCCGCCCCCGCCGGGTTTAGGGCTTAGGGTTGGGGTTTAGGGTTTGGGGGCCGCCCTGCATGTAAGCAAGTTCATGTAAATCGTATGGTAACCCCTAAGGTTCTGCGCCGTAGGTTGACCCCTGCGTTTTGAGCTTTTACTGCACAGCAATCCCTCACATGTTCTTGCGCATCGGCCCTTAGGGCGAAATACACGATTCTTACAAGTGCAGATTCAGTTCGTGAAGCTGTGCATCCGTCAGGATTCGCTCGGCCGCAGAATCTGAGAATTGCGTAACCTTGAAGAAGACGCCAGATTTGGCTTCAAGGTAATCGAACCGGTTAGTAATGTTTGAAGACAGGAACCGTCGCGAAGTTTTCCGAGAAATGGCAGTAGCACTGGAGCCGAAGGTATAGGAAGCGGGGAAGGTGGAAGCATGAACTCGTCCAGCAGGGTCATAGGATCGTGCTTCATCAATCGCAGAAGTGCTGGACGCACCAAGGCATAAACGGCCATGGCTGCTTCACGTGGCCCCTGTTCTTGAGAACAAAGCTGCTGCATGAGAGGTTCTGATACGATGGCATTCCGCATGTGCCTGTGCAAATCATGAGCATTATGTAATGCACCCCTGTGTAGATGATAACCTTGCATGTTTTGGTCTGTCGTCGCGTCGCGTTCAGGTGAATAACTGGTGTCACCGAAAGCATGAGTGAGTGACAACATAGAAGCTACACGAGAGTAAGAATTTACGCTACTGCGAAAGGGTTTAGTACAGCACGAAGCCTCAGAACGCGGATGCGGTCGTGGTGGATGCCGTGGTGCTCGCGGGTCATCAGCAAGTTACGGCCTTGATACTCATAGATCAAGGCCGCCCACTTCTCCCGATCGCCGTGTTTTGGCAAGACACCTCCACCACGCTTTCGGATCCAGCGCTTCATGACAGCCCATTTCGCTTCGATGGGGTTGGTGGTGAACCCATTGGAATTTACGATCTCGCCCTCGCTGCGGTTGACCACGTCATGTGGAAGGGTACGGGTCGTCAAGCCCGTTTCCAGACGGTAAGCCTTTAGGGACGAGACAATGGCTTTCCACTTATCGCTCACGAAGGTATCCCCTGAGCGCAAGCCCAAAGACCGAATATTGCGAAGCATCTCCTTGTGACCCCGAGGCTTGCCATCCAGAGCGTCTGCGGGATGGTCAAGGATGCGGAAGAGGAAGTGGGTCTTGATGTTGTTCTCCAGGACGGCACCCCAAATCCAGATTTGGTCCTTCTGAGGACGACCGTACTTGGAGAGTTTCCCTGGTTTCTTTTTGTCGAGGAAAGACTCATCTGCTATGAAGATCCGCTTCTGATTCTTCTTCAAGGTGTGCTTTTGAAGAGCTGCGGAAGGTCTTTTCAGGATGGCGGTGGCTGGGCGCTTCTGGGTCGCATGGCTCGCTGGCTGCTTGTGGGACACGCGACGCCGCATATGAGGCTGTATTTCCATGTCCTTGAAGAAGGTGTTGTTAAAGCCACTGTCAAGTTGCGGTTTGGCCCAATTGCTGACGACATACTGGAAGGAGGCAAGCCAGCCGTCTATGGTTTCATGATGGCGGTCATTTAGCTCAATACAGATGGTCGTGCGGGAATAGTCCTTCACCCACATGACCAAGGCATCCAGTTCGTCCAACCAAAGTGTCTGGTATTCCCCCTTAAAGAAACCGATGGCGGCCGCGTTATATTCCTTGCCGTTGCACGAGGACACCCGCCATCGTATCGGGGCCCGCGCCATTGGTAGCGACCCCGCCGACAAGAGAGAATATAACTCGAGTCGCATTCCTCGCATTCGTGTCATATTCATATACAAACAAACTGCACACCGTACGTACGAAAAAAACTTTGTTTTACGTACGAAAAGCAAACCGTAACAACATTAAACAATCAAGTGACGGAAGGGTTCAGAAAAGCCTTGCGGAAGGACGCGTCCATTCGCTGCAGAAGTCCGTCATCAAAGACGCCGGGCTTGAACAGTGTCAAAGGTTCGGCCTTGAAGAAATCGAGGTGCTTTGCGGTAACGGTTGGCGGCATCAATCTCGAATTTAGATTGCATGAAGAGAACAATCTTCGACCCGAGAGATTTACCGGTTCGTGTCCTTCCAATCCACGTAATATAATTCTGCCTCATACTTGGGAGCATTTTGGCAAGGACCAAATCCATAGACCAGGGCACGAAGGTTTTGAAGGTGAAGGGCCAATACTCGAGAGTCTTCGCGTTTTGCCTTCCCTTCATGTGATTGTGTAAGGCTTCCTTGACCTTGGCTTCAGGCCAGTTCTCAAGGATGCCTCCTGGGGTATGGATTTGCTCATCGGTCCACTCCATAAACGGGTTTTTGTTGTTGCAACGAGGACCATGTTCTTTGATGTACAAGTATCCCTTGGCTCGTTGTTCTTGATCGAGAGTGAGTTTCTTTTCATACCGGGGCTTGATGATCCAGGGACGTAGCTGGCGGCCGCCCATACGACCCAACATGTGGTTCAATGCTGCTAGACCATGACAGACACTGTTGCCCCATTCAAATGCATCGGATCACCGTAGCACATAGCAACACAGTCCCTGGCATGGTGCTTGTTGCGATGCAAGTAGACATGCTTGATGATGTGGTGGTAGTTCACATTCGGGTCAGCGTCCTCTGGCGCAGGCGAGGGAAGAATCACGTACTGAATTGTGAAGGGACAGTTTGGCGACTTGGCTAAGCAGAACGGAGGTGGGAGTTGTCCATACTTGCCCTCATAGCACAACTTGTACATGTTGTTGAAGAGCCCCTCGTCAATGTTCACAGGGTGTTGCAGCAAGATATCCGCAAACTATACAATCTTTGCAGACGTAGATTCCAGATGACGAATTGTGAGGTCTGAGATTTGTACATCACCAGGAGCTCGGTCTGATTTCATTGGATGGGTTTCAGGACCTTGAAGCTTCTGTCCCCATACATGAGCACAAGCCTCTTCGAACGTCAAGGGGCTCTCTTGAATTTCATGTTCTGCCGCATAACCTGCCATGTTGGAATGAAGCGATGCTATATGCGATCACGGACGGGAGCTGGAACAAGAAGAAGAAGAAGCGCTTTGAGAAATACGCGACAAGCACGCACAGCATGGAAGTATTCTTGCGCCAACTGCTTCCGTAGTAGTACAGTGATGCACGTAATCCTAAGCAGACATAACTGACATAACCGGAGCACATCTTTGGTCCGTGCACAGTTTCGGTGTCATGTTGGTGATTTCACCAGTATTTGCAGACCAAAGAATGTTCGCTCAGTTTGACTGCATTATGAACATCAGCATCATTCGGAGCCTGACGGAGAAAACCTAACTTAAAAAACCAAACTGAAAACACAAAAAAACCTAAATCTCGAGAGTCTTGTCACGGGCACCTCGCCGAAAGACTTCCCGAATTTAGGCTTTTTTGTTTTTTTTGGTGTTTCTTGGTTTTTTCAGTTAGGTTTTTTCAGCCCGCAAACCCTAACCCCCGGCCCTTGAGGTAAAGCTTTGTAGTGATGTTGTCGATGGCACGTACCTGAGGCAAGAACAAGGAAAAGTAGTGAAAACGCAGGGGTCGAGGTATAGCGCCTACCCCCTAAGGTTCAAAAGTAGTGAAAACGCAGGGGTCGAGGTATAGCGCCTACCCCCTAAACCCTAAACCCTAAACCCTATTCACGAGGTACTTGGTAAAGAATCACTGGAGACCTTGGTGTTCCCAGCTTTTGGGATTTCGTATCTCGGAGTTTCGGGCTCAAGGTTCAGAGTTCAATCTCTCATCATGCTAACCTGTAGGCAGGACGAAATGAAACCTTAAAGGGTTTAAGGATTAGGGTTTAGGGTTTAGGGTCTATAGGGTTTAGGGTTTAGGGTTTACCTTAAGGACGAAATGACCCCTAAATGGGTTTAAGGTTCATACAC